CCGATCCAACCCAACCCGTGAACAACCCTAGTTAATTAGTTGTTAACCAACCATTAAGTGGCATTTGAAAAATACACAAATGCCCTTCGAGTGTCATCTAATTTTCTTTATCAACCATCTAAACGTTGACAAAAAATTAACAATCCCAAATCTTTGCCTTTTCCATTCAAGAAAGTTGGGGTCACATTTGAGTGGGCATTCTGGTGACCCCAACTTTCTTGAATAGGATTTGAGACTGGTAATTTTTTGTTAATGTTTGGATGGTTGTTAAAGAAAATTAAATGACACTCGAAGGACATTTGTGCCCTTTTCAAATGCCACTTAACAGCTAGTTAACAACAGGTATTGGATTGTCATGTTTTGAAATTTTGGGTCTTAAATTGCATTTTAAAGTTTGGGGACCAAAATGGCACTAGACCTAAAGTACAGGGTACTGATCGAGATTTTTCCCCTTTTTTTTATAATTGTAGAGTTGAAAAACAAAAGAAATTTCTAGAAAAATAAAATTTTCTTATGATTTTCAACACACTAGTTAAAATTTGAGATTTTTTTTTTAAAACATAAATACCCCTATGTTTTATTAACATAAATACTCCAGGTAGAGGCGCGGCCACCTAAAAATTTTATTAACATTATTAACGGGAGGTAAATCAAAACAGGGGAAGACGGAGCCTGTCTTCCCCAAAACCCAACAACAGAGCACACAACCTTACCCTCTCATCCTAACCCAACACTAGGCTCAAAAAACAGAAAAATAAAAATCAATCATAAACAATCAAGACCATTAAATGGGGATCCAATTTATTCTATCATAGTTGAAACTCAATCTAAAATTAAAGTCGGATTGGATTGGGTTGAAAAACATGAACCCAATTTTAAGTTCGGCTTAGGTTAAGGCCAAGGCTTTGGACAAACCTCACCTATATAACCTAAATCCGACATGTTTATATGTAAATATAACAAATATATTGTAGTATTAGTGAAGAGAGGCATGTGTTGAAAAAAAATGGTCTGTTTTGAACAGGATTTGTTCTACAGGCTCGTCCCTCTATCCTTGAGTTCTAAGGAGATAGGAACCTAAATTAAATTCTACTGATGTCTGGGAACGTGGTATCCGTATTGTGTAGCCCCTTTCTATTTATAAAAAAAAAAAATTGGAAAATGTATATCTATTTGGTTATATATAATTTGCATTAGGTATATATTGGTTCTATTTTTTTTTTTTAGTTTTTCGCTTTTATCCTTTTTGTAACACATAACTGATCACTACAGTCCACCTCTCTCCTAACTCGGGTTGTCCTAGGTAACCATTTTACATTGATTCGGGTTTGGCCCTTCTTGCTGGGTCCGTTCAAATTTTCACAAAAACCCCCACCCAAGTTGCACTCTACTTTTTAATTGGTTCAAATTTAAATTAAAAAAAAAAAAAGAAAAAACTTCTCTCTTCCTATTTATTTTTCTTTCTAAGAAAATCATTTCTCCTCTCTCTAATAATTTTATTCCCACCCCAAAACCCAACCTTTATTTTTATTTTTCTTGTTGTTAATGCATGCAGTTTTGTGCACCCTCGTATTTTAGGGTTCTACTACATCAAAGCATAAGCATATTGCTTAGACAAGATAGCTTTTCCTTCAAAATTTTGGCTTAATAAACTTCAATTTTGGACAATGTTACATTACATATTTTAGTCACAAAATCAAATTTAATTTCCTTCCTTAATTCAAAACACAAACCCAACATAAAGGCTTTTAGTATCTTATATTAGTCAGTGTTCCATTTAATCATGAACCAAACCCAATTTGATTCAAATAAAATGAAAATCTCAACCAACCAACCAACCAACCGGTCTCCTACCCAACTTGATGTCACCTTCTGATTGCGTTTGGGGTTCAATATCGGGGGCAGGATAGTACTGATTTTAATCCAATTAGACTTATATCCATAAAATGGTATCTTCTACATATCCTATTTTTGCCATGTACATACAGGGATGATGATGATGATACAGACTTGAGTTCTCCATTGGTTGGTTAGGACTTAGGAGACACTTCAATACATGACATGTTTGGACCCCACACAAATGATATTAGAGGTATATTATCACTATGTTGACATCAAGTTGGGGAGACACTTCAGACATATTTGGACCAGCCAATGCTGGTCTCTATCAATCCAGCAATATAGGTGTCCATTTTAACAACTCTCTCATCACTATGGAGACAAGTAGCCCTTTTCCTTTGGCTGCTCGCTCTGCTCCAATAGTCCCTTTTGTGGTGGCTGTCGCTCAATTCTAAGTAGCCATTTTTGCAACAACTTTCACTTTGTTCAATAGCCTTTCTAACAAATGGGGTAAGCTCTAATACAAATTGTTATATACACCCCAAAAGCCACGATACCAATTGATATGTACTTGACTGATAGACAAAAGCCATGAGACTGATTGAAAGACTTGAAACCAAAAAAATATAACTGTTAAAATGATAGTATATTCTAATTAATTTTTTTATATGTCTAACATTATTTTGTTATTTTTCATAGGAATGTAGCATCAACACTTTCCAAAAGGTATCTTAATACTACTCTCACCCAAACATACTTAATTTTGAAGTTTTAATGGGATTTGATGCATTATGAGTAGTATAATTGTATTTTATATGTTAATCTTTCATGGAAGGGAATGGTGAAATATAATTATGTAACCGACCCCATATACTTGATACAAAAGACTGATGGCATGATTTCCTATAAATTCAAGATGACCCGCCTACTACTCCCCATGGTTTATGCCTCACAATCTAATAAATAAAACAATATAGTGAAAAATAAATGAGATAAGTAGACTGCACTATACTTCAGAATTCTGAGTTCCACTGTAGACATACAGTAATTCAAAATTTTAAATACCTCCACCTAAACACCATTACACCTTGCGCATTGGCTTCAATTCCGAGTTGACACCTACCCCAACTATACAATGGAGTTTAGATTTGTGGGAATGGACTGAACAGTAAAAACCTCAAAATAAAATACGGTGTCAAATTAATTAGGATATAAGATGTAAACACCATTTTTAAAATGTAAATAAATCTGTGATCAAGGTTCAAAATATCGATACGCCTGATACGCTGATAGAGGCGTATCGAGTAGTATTGATAGTTTTTTTAGTGTTTTTTTTTCAAATCTGGTTCAAAGGGTCTGGGTTAAGGTTCGTCCACCCTTGAACCGGATCAAGCAGTATCAATAGTTTTTTTTTTTCAAATCCGATTAGAGGGTCTGGTTTAAGGTCCCATCCACCCCTGAATCGATCAAAACCCCAATACACCCTCTATAGGGGCATATCGGAAAGCTCCCGGTATGATACATATCCGCCGATACTTTGAACCTTGCCCGTGATAGCTAGGCTTAAACAAATCACCACCCATCTGACAAAAATGATGTAATCCTTGCACATGCCAAGTCAGATGCCAACTCAAATAGGCTCCATCTTCACTAAATGTTAGATGGTAATCCAATCGGATCCTATGAGGTTGCAGGCCACCAGATTGGATCCATATATTGTATTGTAAAAACTAAAAAGACCATCTACATACCAATTCATAACGGTCGACAACCCATAACAGTTGAGACTATGTCAATGGGTCGGGTTGAACAGTAAATCCGGCTTGATGCGATCCTATTAGGGTTAGGTCTATTTAGGTATAGGATCAGGTTGGGGCTTTGATTCTGGTTCGGGTTTTGACTGATCCACCCCATCAAGTCTTCATACCCTATACCCTAGGTATTTTGTGATTTGTTGGTTTCTAACTTCATAACCTTAAAAGTTTAGGATTTTTTTCATGCCTATTTTGGTTTTTCTTCTTTCAATGATGGAGAAGTTGACATCTTAGAACCTACAATGCAATTTCCAACTTAAATTAATGGTTTTAAGTTTTGAAAATGTGTTATAAAAGGTTTTAATAATGTATAAAATGACATTTTAGAACCCATGGTTTTTAAAACCGGACTGGACCAGACAGTTGGACCGAAAAAACCAGGAACTGATATGTTTTACCCCAGAATCATTATTTTCCCTAAAACCGTTGATTTGGTTAGTAAAATGCTAACCCAAGTGGTCGAACCATTCAATGGTTTGGCCAATTTTTATTTTTTTATTAATTTTTTGCCAGAATGGGCCGTCTATTCATTCGGTTCAAACGATCGAACCATTTGACCCAAGAACCAGACCTCTGACCGATTTATTGTCTGATTCGATTTTTAAAAACCTTGTTAGGACCCATAAATCAATTTCCAACTTAAATTAATGGTTTTAAGTTTTCAAAATGTGTTATACAAAATACAATTAAAAGGATGTTGGTCGGGGGTGGGTTGGCATTAGATTGAACCCTATATGCTCGGATTGGGTTCAGAAATTACATATCATTAAATCGGGTTGGAATGTTGGAGGAATTGAGGCAAACCCAAACCGAGCATGTCCCGTTGACATCCTCACATCCCTAATTGATACTTAGCACATATAGGGATGTTGGTTCGGTCTGCACTTAAAAGTGATGTGATTTGTGGTTTGGTTCTGATTTTGGAGTTTGGGCACTTGGATCGGGTCAATATAATCCAGTTACAACCGGATCGGGTTTGAAAACATCTCCGACCGTACCGTAGGTAGAACGAAAATGATTAATAAATGAAGGAAAGAGAATTTCTTTCGGATGACGGGGATTGTGAAAAGCCAATTGCCGACTGCCGTGGACCAACGTTACTTCTTTCATTCTTGAATAGTTGAATTTGAACAACATTTATCATTTATGACAGCTTATCACCGAAATCTCCAAATCTCGAGATTCATGTCGTGTCTCGCCAGACGGTGAGAGTTACTTTCCCGATTCCAACCATCAATGCTCAAAATGACCAAAATACCCCACAGGATGACTGGTTTCCACCCGTGAGAATGAGATCAACCCTTCAAGGATACTACAGTCATTTTGTGTTTTTCCTTTTCCCACTCACTCGAACAACAACAACATTTTCGTTGTTGGCTTCAAAAGCACATCGCTTTTGCTTTCGTTTTGCTCTGGAATCCAGCCAAGCCCACACCAGCAATCTCCCACGCTTTCCCCCTCTCGGAAAGAAAAGAGAAAAGGAAACTGCAAACCCAAATCTCTTCTCTCAGAAATCTCACACTGTTTTTCTGTTTTCTGGGAAACAAAAGTCAGGGAGAAGGTTTTATTTTTCTCCTTTTTCCTTCTCTGCAAGGTTGTGTAAGATTTGCAGAGAAACAGTGATGGCTGCTTATAGAGCTGAGGACGACTATGATTACTTGTTCAAGGTGGTTCTGATTGGAGATTCGGGTGTTGGGAAGTCGAATTTGCTTTCGAGGTTCACGAGAAATGAGTTCAGTCTTGAATCCAAGTCTACGATCGGGGTAGAGTTTGCTACTAGGAGCTTGAACGTCGATGGGAAAATCATCAAAGCTCAGATTTGGGACACGGCGGGACAAGAAAGGTGATGCTTTTTTTATCAGGAACTCTGTTTTTTGTGATCTGGGTTGTTCATATTTTCTTTTTGGAGAGTGTGTGTATTCGTGAGCTTCACACATTTTCTTTGATTGGTATGCTTCACGCATTTTGCCTTGATTCTTCCCGTCATGGAGTGTCTGTTTTCTTTTGCGCTGCTTATTGGGTTTAGTAAAGTAGGAGGTTTAAGTAGGTTTCAGAAATCAGTTTAATTGTTAGAGATCTGAAGGTATTCAAGTGGAGTGCTTTTTACTATATTGGTTCCGAGTGGTATTCTCACTTGTCATTTTGATCTGTATCTGAATGCAAATCCGGGGTGGCGTATCGTTTTCCACTATTAGGCTCTATTAATTATTTTATTTGTTCTCGTGATTGGCTCCTCTTTAGGATTAGGTCGATTACGATTTGATTTATCTTGTCTAGCAGTAGATCTTGATCAAAGATAGCTGCTTATGATGGCTTACTCTGTTTTGGGTGAGAGTTGCTTCGTAAAGACTTTTCTGTGGCATTTTGTGTGGAATTTATTCATCTGGTGCATGATGAAGATCCAGATCTGAAGAATCTGGGTTTCATGTACCAAAGTGATAGACTAATGGTATATGTGTTTTGAAGTATAAATTTTTTTCTGGTGCCAAGCATTTGGCACAGATTTTCATATTGGTTTACTGTCTAGGTTGTAAACAGTTTTGGCTGTTTTATGTTAGCTTCTTTCCATGGTCATATTGCTTCATGGAGCTCTGGAACTGATTGTTAGGAAGGTGATATAGAAACTATAGATTGCTGGATGACTATGCGTACTTTCCTATTGTTGGGGTCGGATCTTGATGTTGGCTACGTGGCAGGATCTAAGAGGCCGGTTGAGACTTGGAACCAGAACTTGGGAGAGGGTGGTCTGGCCTGGCCCGTCTACAACAGAGAACTCGCTGCTGTCAACCCTGTCCGCAAAACCAGGTTTTGGTTTGGCCTTCACCCCGGGAGAGACCTGATTCCCTTTAGGATGAGATTTCTTCCTTACCGAATACCAGCCTTCTTTTTTGCTCTTAATTTCCTTCTCAACTACCACCTCCTTGTTGCCTTTAATGACTCCCTTGAAAGGTATTTATAGCTGTCCCAACGTTCCCTCCATTTTGTCTTTTTGCACACGGTGGAGGGGGAGGGTTGATCTAGTGTTCTTATTACACCTACCCCTCTCCTAGGGCCTCTTCGCATACCTAGTTTTTACCCAAATCATCTCCTTTAATCTCACACATGCTACCTTGGTTTAGCCATTAATGGGTCTTGTCCTAGTGCGGTCACGCTACGTTAATTTTGGGCCATAAATGCCAAACCACCAACTCTGCGTTAGTCATTAAATGTGGCCTGACATAGTGTGACTAGAGGTCTACCTAACTTGCCAAACCTTTGCGAGGGGACGACGGTCTGCCTTTCAGTCTTGTCACCTAATTTGCGTGTCGGGCAAGGTTGGCCCTTCACCATTAATGCACTGTTAGTAAGCTGATTCGAGCCTTGCTTGTCGTCTTGTCACCTGCCACGTGCCCCCTTTATAGCCCTTGGATGGTTGATCATGAGCCAGTCACAACATTAGTCCCCTGACAGCTAGGCCACCTCGAGCGGCCGAGGGTAGCGTAGCTGTCACCTCACCTTTCACTCATTAGGTCTTTCTAGAAGTCATTCTTTTGTAATTGTCTTTTGCGTGCTACTTTGATAGGATTTTGTCCTCGGGTGGCCTGGATCCGAGACTTCGTGCGGGCTCTCATTAAAGCCCACCTCTTCAAATGACAAGCTTACAATCACAATGACCTTCTGGAAGTGGTTAACCCATGCCTACATTTGGCTGTTTGGGGTGGTTAAGCCCATGCCAGAATTGACCATCTATGGGTGGTTAGCCTGTGCCAGAATTGACCATCTATGAGTGTTTAGTTCATGCTTGAATTGGCCATCTATGGGTGGTTAGCCCACGCCCAAATTGACCATCTATTGGTGGTTAGCTCAAGCCTAAGTTAGGTGAGCGGTTGTGTCTTGTTGAGGCGTCCTTCATAGGTGCCGGTTGCATTAATGCCTTACTGTGCTTCTCAACGTTTAGCTGGTTATAAATATGGGACCCAAGGTGGATGAGGGTTCCCATGTGCTTGCTTGGTAGTTTTGCAAGTGTGTTAGAAATAATGTTTTAAAAATGCAAGGTGCAAAAAAGGCGTAGGGGCCAATTTGTGCCTGAGGCGCTAGGTGTGCACCTTTTTGAAGCAAGGCACAAAAATACAAAAAAGTTGCTAAAAAGTAAAAAAGTCAAAAAATTCAAAAATGCCAAAAAATAAAAAAACCATAAGATTAATAAAAAATATAAACTTAAATTTTAAAATAAATGTTTTAAAAAACCTATTATCTAAAATTAAAATACCTAAACATATCATGTAAAGCATATTGAAATGAAAATTCAAAAATAAAATCAAACATATAAAACATTGCCAAGCATGTAAAACCCACAATCTCTTTCTTTTTTCCTCAATTGCATTACTTCAAGTAGCTAATGTTATGTAAAACATATTACATCCTTGATTCTATGAGCCGCCATTATGCCATGCCCCTCGAGGCAAACCCAAACAAGTCCATGTTAGGGTCTTAAATTCTTAGTTCTAACACAAAATAATGATTTTATAATTTTAATTGCTTTTTAAGGAGATATTTTATTAGGATGAATGAATGAACAACATTGGCAAATAGGGGGTTCTTGGAGCTTTGATAGGTTCAGAGAAGGCAAAAAAGGCGTGAAATTTTCAAAAGGTGCACACCTAGGATGTGGCGCAAAGCGCATGCCTAGGCACACCAGGCGTGCGCCTTTTGAAAGGGCTGCGCCTAGGACCTAGGTGAGGTGCATACCCTAAAATCCCCCTAGGTACGCCTTTTAAAGCACTGGTTAGCAACCAAGTGTCCTTGCTCTACTGCCTCTGAAGATGTTGAGCTTCATCTTACTAGTGTTTTTCTTTGTGGCTTCCAGTTCTTCAGGCCATTGTTGACCTTGGCAAAACATGGTCATCTCCCACTGTCCCTGATGCTAAAGCCGTTGAGGCCTTATAGTTGACTTCCTGCACTTGTCCTCAAAGTTACGGGGACTTTGATTCTGAGGCCCCTCCGGCCAGGAGCCCTTGCACGCATTCCCAATCAACCAACCCATCCCAACCTGACAAATTCACCCTGTTGTCCACCATGCTGGAGATTTCTTAGATGAGGAGGAGGTTCCTTCAACAAACATGGATGAGATGTAGTAGATGCAGTACGGGCTAACCACCCATAGATGGTCAATTCTGGCACGGGCTAACCACCCATAGATGGTTAATTTTGGCATGGGCTAACCACCCATAGATGGTCAATTCTGGCACGGGCTAACCACTCATAGATGGTTAATTCTGGCACGGGCTAACCACCCTTAGATAGTCAATTTTGGCATAGGCTAACCTCCCCAAACAACCAAATGTAGGCGTGGGTTAATGACTTCCACAAGGTCATTGCAGTTGTAGGCTTGTCGTTTGAAGAGGTGGGCTTTAATGAGAGCCCGTGCGAAGCCTCAGATCCAGGCCACTCAAGGAGGCGAAGACAAAATCCTATCAAAGTAGCACACGAAAGATAGTTCCAAAAGAATGGCTTCTAGAAAGGCCTAATGAGTGAAAGGTGAGGTGACAGCTACACCACCCTTGGCTCCTCGAGGCGGCCTAGCTGTTAGGACTGGCTCGCGATTGGCCATCCAAGGGTTGTAAAAGGGGCATGTGGTAGGTGACAAGACGACAAGCATGGCTCGTAGTAGTTTACTGACAATGCATTAATGGTGAAGGGCTAACCTCGCCCGTTAGGTCACATTTAATGACTGACGTGGAGTTGGTGGCGTGCATTTATGGCCTGAAATTAACGTAACATGACCACACTAGGATGAGACCCATTAATGGCTAAACCAAGGTGTCGTGTGAGATTAAAGGGGATGATTTGGGTAAAACTCGGTATGCAAAGAGGCCCTAGGAGAGGGGTAGGTGTAATGAGAACATTAGATTGACCCTCCTCTTCCATCGTGTGCGAAAAGACTAAAGAGAGAGAAGGTTGGGGCAGCTATAAATACCTCTTGAGGGAGTCATTAAAAGCAACAAGGAGTTGGTAGTTGAGAAGGAAATTAAGAGCAGAAAAGGAGGTTGGTAAGGAAGGAAATCTCGTCCTAAAGGGAATCAGGTCTCTCCCGGGGTGAAGGCCAAACCAAAACATGGTTATGCAGACAGGGTTGATAGGAGCGAGTTCTTTGCTGTAGGCGGACCAGGCGAGACCACCCTCTCCCAAGTTTTGGTCCCAACCAGCTTCTTAGATCTTGCCACATAGCCAACATCAGGATCTGACCCCAACATATTGGTGACTTCACTGGGGATCGAACCCAGAATGGGGTATCTCGTAAGTTGCATTCTGCATCATGATGCATAGGTTTATGCTTTAATTTCTATTCTTCTGCACTGAAGTGGCATTCTTCTTTATGTTTGTTTTCTGTAATCACTGTTTGCTGCAGCCTTTTTTTTGTCTCAGTTGTGTGTTTTAATTTTCTTCGTTTTGGTTACTGAGATAGGCATCCTTGTAACTGGCATCTTGTGAGAGCCAACAAGCAAAATTATGACCTGAGGTTGGGCTATGCAAATTACTTTTATAGGCCAAGAGTAATATTTATTGTTATTGATAAAAAAAAGGAGTAATATTTATTGTTCTGAGCATCATTATTATCTCTTATAAGCATATAGCCTAGTTTGAAGGAGAACCATGCTGCTACTGAAAAATGAACTGCTACCATTCATTTGTCAAAATGAACAATTATTGAGCTTTGGGTAGACCGGCACGTGGGGTGTTTGTTGGGGGGAAGTTTCATTCCTATTAACTCATAACTCTTTTACATGTACTGGTGCCCGTGTACAGAACACCCCCTGATTGGGCCTTTTCCTAACAACTTGTTCAATTTTTTTTTGATTCATA